TTAATTATGTAAATTTGTAATTTTGTAATCTACAATTTGCTGATATTAAATTTCTAACAGAGTTATAAATGTCTCGTTTTGAATTCCAGGTTACTAGTTGCAAACATGAATATCATCTGCATTGCATTCTTGAGTGGTAAGTTGTCTAATTGCTTGGTGAATAGATTGCGTTTTGTCTTATGTGAGAAGGAATGGTACTTTTTTTCTTCTTTTTCAAATATGGAACAATAGGTTGAATTTTGAGGCCTGCATCTTACACAACTCTTTTCTTTTTTAGGTCACAAAGAAGCCAAGAATGCCCAATTTGTTGGCAATCCCTTGCTTTGAAAGATCCTGCCAGGTATATATATATATGCTCACTTGCTAAACCCCTTCCCACCAAAAAATAGTCTGTCACTTTTTTTACTCCTTTTCAAGTACTTGTTCCAAGCCTTTTTTTTGGCTATGCTTGTTGGTTTTTCTTAACTGCTTTTGCTTCTGCAGCCAAGAGCTTCTAGCTGCAGTTGAAGATGAAAAACGCTTGAGATCAAGAAAGACCACTGCTTTTCGTACCCGCCTTGAACAGTATGCCTATGTAAGATATTCAAGTGTTGATCTTTAGGGATCAGTTTTGTTGTGTTAATATCTATTGACATTTGTTTCCTTGATACATGTAGCATACTTTCATTCAATGATCAGTAGCAAGTTATTCTGTTGCAGGAGGATGACTTGTTCTCAGACGACTCTGATTCTGATGACCAGATTATGAGGCGCCTAGTTGCTGCTGCAAATAGAGCCCGTCTTGTTCAGAGACAGGAAAGGAATAGATCACCTGGTGCTGGTCCATCAGATGTTCTTGATATTAACTCTTCCATACATGTATCTGAGTTGCAAACAACACTAACAACTTCACCATCTCCGGGTAGTTTGCCTGCCTCGGGAGTAACATCTACACTTAATAGTCAACCTCCGGTATCACACACTACACCCGAAAGAGCTAGCCGACCAAACACTTATGAGATGTTTTCCTTCTCAGAATCCTTCAAATCCAAATTTTCTGCTGCTTCAACCAGGTAAACATGTTTAGAAATTTGAAGGGTTATGTTCCCATCCAACTATTATCCACTAGTGCTGATAGTTTATCTGAAATATTGCAACAGATATAAGGAATCAATTTCAAAAGGTACACGGGGCCTCAAAGAGAAGTTACTTGCCCATAATGTCTCAGTAAAAGAGCTGAGTAAAGGTGTTCAGCGTGAGATGAATGCAGGCATTGCTGGAGTTGCACGGATGATTGAACGCCTTGATCTTTCAAAACGGTCCAATTCTCCTATCATTCCAATCCATAGTGAGGGAACTTCAGACTACCCAAATGAAGGGAAGAAGTATGTTGGAGAGAATGGCATTGGGGGTTCTCCAGGTAAAGAGAGTGAAGGTGCAGTTCATGATGTTAGTTCAGATGTCCCCATTGTCACTGGCGTGTAATCTTTTGGTCCAGGTTACTTCTAATCTATCAAACATCTTAGTTTCTACCTTAAAAAAAATTGTTTGTTTCAAAAGTTATCTGGTTATCAAAGTTCGATGAAACCTTGGTATCTTATAAACTACAGCACAGGTTTAAAATTGAATTTATGTAGCACTCATAAATTAGTCTATCTTGATGAAACAAAAATTGCATTTGCACCCCTGTCGGTATAATTATTGTTGTCCTAAAAGAAAGTGTGCCAAATTGGATTTTGGTAATGGTTGAAAATTGAATATTGACTAACGCGTTCAATGTGTTTCACTATTCAGGATGGAAATGATAAGCTATGAAGACTTAGATGACCAAGTTTAGTCACTATGCTGAGTCAATTGTCTAAGAAGTGCAAGAGACGCCTCTGATAACCAATGTTCCCGTTGGTATGCGTCCTGCATCGTTATCAATGTTAATTACTAGTAGGAATTAGAAATATGTGCCATCAATTTAGTGTTTCACTGCTTTTATTTAATGCTGCATCTATCTCAATAGATGTTTCATGGAGTCTTATCTATGTCTACCCCATTTACATTGCCAATACTTTATTAGCATTAATCAAATTTAGAGCCTCTAAATTTGCAAATTTGGTTATGATTCAGGCTACTTGCTAAGTAAAAATTACAGATGTTGCACATGCAGTTAAAACTAAAACAAGATTAACATATAATTATAAATCATTATGATATTAGCAATTTAAGGAACATGTATGTTATAGCTTATAATATATTTTCAAAAGAAACCGAGTCTGGTATGAGTCCGATTTAACTTGGTGTTTGAAATTGTATTTGAGCTTATGTGTTGTTGCATTGTTTTCCTATTTTGCATTTAGTTAGCTAATCAAGTATTCAAACTATTCATTTAACACTACCTTTTTTATTTCAAACATTGAACAAAATGCTTGATTTTTTAACAAAATTATAATAGTTTATAAACATAACATATATGCTTTATCAATTACATCTTTTAGAATATTTTAATTTAATAAGAATTAACTAAGTGTTTTTCTTAAATGTGGTGGCCAATGACATTAAGTACTCAATTAAGAATTTAAAAACTTTTGTACAAAGAGAGGAAACGTTAAAAATGTGGTGGCCAATGGCATTAATTGCTCAATTAAATGTTGTAATTAAGGTCATTCAATGCATAATTGAATATAATACAATTTTGTCATCATTGTCAATGTGGATGATATTAATTTGATTATACGAAAAAGGTTGATGAATATAGACTGTACTGATTGGATAATCCAAGAAGGTTTATGGTTACCTTTATATATACAATATAACACGAAATAACTTTAGTTTGACATTTATTTTAACATTAAACATGAAAAAACATATATTAAACAGGAAATACCTTAGCTTATTTACTTTAATTAAAATGTATATTGATGTCAACATTTAAAATTGCTAAATTTTATTAATTTCTTTCGTTTTCATTTCTCGACTACGTATATTTGTTTACGTTTTTAGGTAAAGACTGGCATCGTCTGCATTGCTCACATTATATTGAGTCTAAATCAACTAAAAGAACTAATTAGGGATTTTTGAAAGGTCCTTTTAATTAACTAGATATTTTGGTTTTAATGTTAGATCTAACTTTAAGATATTATGTAATTTTTTGTAGGTCCAATACTAATTTTTTTTTTATTGTAAAAAAGAATTTAAAATATGTGTATTTTTATTTTAAAGATCTTGATAATTCTTGTAGATAGACTTATTCGTCATGGTGAATATCTTATCTCTCCCTCTTATACAAAATCTTATAAATAGTAAATTTTATGTTTAAAGTCTTTGTTAAAGGTCCACTGCCAAACATACTTTTAGAAAATTTATTAAGTTTAAAAAGTCGGTTTATTTATAAATGAAATTTTAATAAAATATTATTTTATAGTGTCATTATACTAATTGACAACTATGTTCCCGATTAGAAATAGTTTTAACATCTGTATAATTCAAATAATTTGTAATTTTTATCCTTATTTAATAAAATAATTAACTCGTAAGTTTATCGGTCTATTTAAGATAGTCTTATTTTGTAGGTTTAAAACATCATTTGGTCCTACTTTTAGGAGTTTGGTTTAAAATAATTTTACCTTTTAAAAAAGTTCAGGAAGATTCCATATTTCGTTAAAAAATGTTCAATCCGGTCCTTCCTTTCTGCACGTGGCACACGTTAATAGGTGGACTTAAATGATTTTTTAATTTAAAAAAAGTTTAAAAAGTCTCTGCTACGTCATCATCACCATCTCCAGACAAACCCTAATTTCTCTCCAAGAAACCCTAGCCGCCGCACCATCCAGGCCGACCGTCATCCTTTCCGGCGCATCACACGCCACCACCAAAGCGTTGCGACGAGAACGCGAGAAACCCTTGGTCTCCACGGTTTGCTTGCAGGTCTGATTGTGGTTGCAGGTGGAGGCAAGCAGCGACGCGGTTAGTGGTGGAGAAGAGTGGCGATTCGCGATCTGCAGCAGTTGGCGATTTGGCTGGTGGTTAGTGGTGGACGATTCTGTGGTGGAGATTGGACGGTAGTACTGCTGGCGCGACGACAATTTGGCTGGTGCAAGGGTAAAAATGGTGAAGATTGGTGGTCGTGACATAGCAAGGGATCGGGATTGTGTTGGGTGATGGCTCGAGAACGAAGGTGAGATGCGAAGGTGATGGAGGTGCAACAAAAGGGAGAAGACGTTTTTTTGTTGGTCGTGACATAGCAAGGGATCGGGATTGTGTTGGGTGATGGCTCGAGAACGAAGGTGAGATGCGAAGGTGATGGAGGTGCAACAAAAGGGAGAAGACGCTTTGGTGATGGTCGCGACATAGCAAGGGATCGGGATCGTGTTGGGTGATGGCTCGAGAACGAAGGTGAGATGCGAAGGTGATGGAGGTGCAACAGAAGGGAGAAGACGCTTTGGTGGTGGCACGTGATATGTTGGAGAGGACGGCTGCCAGCGAGGATAGCGGTGACGACGCTGGATGATACGACGGCTAGGATTTCTTGGAGAAAAATTAGGGTTTGTCTGGAGATGGTGATGATGACGTGGCAGAAACTTTTTTAAACTTTTTTTAAATTAAAAAATATAACGTGTTTCACGTGCTTATGAGATAACACAGTGACATTTGTACCGTTATGTTTTTAATGGCGTGAGCGAAAAGAACCGGATTGAACATTTTTTAGCGAAATATGGGGTCTTATTGAACTTTTTTTAAAGGTAAAATTACTTTGAACCAAACCCGGGTAGGGATCAAATGATGTATTAAACCTATTTTTTAATAATTATGATATTATCTAATAAATAATAGAATTGAATTAATTCAACTCCAGGACTTGTTGATAATCAATTAACATAGTTGAAACATTAGTTCGAAATATTCATTTAAAGGAGAGAAATAAGTTAAAATAGAGTTGTATGAATATTACGTTAAACCTGAAAAAGAAACATCATATCAGGTCTATATTAGAAGATTACAAAGTTTGTTTAACACGAGTTATCATTCTTTCCCCCCGTTTCTAATAAAGTAGCTGCTTATGTCATCAATTAAATAAAACTATTGACTTGAGTTTTACAATTGATGCAGTGTAATAACGATGTTTCAAACAAGTTGAAAGTCAAGTCACACCAACAAATATCAGCATAACTTGTAGTCCAATTTTCCTTCTTTTTAATTGTCGTGATACCTACATTTCTAGGTTAATAATTGCAAATCCAATTTTAGTTTAATTTGATGATCTTTTAGAAGAAAACAAAGAGCAGAAGATTTATCACTGCAAGAAGATAATTCATCTATTTCTTTTGAAGTTTAAACTAAAAATAAATAAACCAATATCATAAACCTCAATCATGTTCAAAGATTTAATTTCAATTTTACTGATTATAAACCAACCTCACTGTAAGATCAACTTTATGCGTACATACAAACCAGCAGAAACCTCAAATCTGTTCCAAAATGGTCTGTGCAGCAGAAACTTTAACAACAGATGGATCTTCTTCAACATTTAGAGCCTTAATCACTCCATCTACTACATATGCTGACCATCTACTCTTTTAATATCTGAATGAAGTCAAAGATAGAAAAGAATAGTAATAGATGCAACTTAAATAAAAAGCACTTTTATAAGGATTACAACTTCTATGATATCTCCAGGACCAGAAATTATTACCTTTCAGAACGAGTTCCAAGCAAAAGATTAGAGAGATCTGTGACTAATTTCAAACTTCTGTGAAAGCTCCCATCGAAGTCCCCATAAAACTCAATCTGGAAGTCCAATTTCAAAAAGAAAATGAAAGAGCAACATTCGTAGCAAGTACCCAGAAGTAAAAGAATGCAAGCTTGGTAAATGTAAAATTGTAAATACAACATTACGCCAAAAAAGTAACACTTTACAAATTCAAATGCGAGGGAAACTACTAACCTGTTTCATTTTAAGTAACAATTTGAAAGAAAAAAGTTAGTTTTCACCTATCATTTTAATATAAAAGAAAATACTAGTTATATGTCTGACTTTTTATATACCAAGTTTATCAATAAAGAAAAGAGAATGAAAGAAGAAACTAAGGCAAGAAGACAGAGATAACATACAGTATCTTTGCCTTGAAGCTTCTCTGCCCACTCATTCATAGTATATGGATCGTTAATTGCAACACAGATAACAAAATCGATCCCCTTAGCCTTAAACATGTCAGCATTTTCCATGTAAGTTGGAACGTGTTCTTCCGAACAGACTCCTGTGAATGCACCCTGATAAATAGTCAAAACATCACAACAAATATTTAAGAAAATACAATGAAAACAAGGTCCATTGATTTACTTCTAACACTTGAAAATGACGTATAGAAAATTCTAATGTATAACCCACCGGGATTCCAAATATGACGACTTTCTTGTCCTGAAGCAAGGTGGGAAGAGACATTAGTATCAGTAACTGAGAGAAAAGATAAAAAGGATGGGTTTGAGAGTGAGAATGGAAAAGAAGGTGGTGGGGACCTTGAAGATGTCCACGAGATGAGAGGTTAAGAAACTAGAAGCGACACCTTGGTCCCATGTGCGAGCTCTTTGAAGAGAAACATTGGGTGCAATAGAGAGTATATCAGTTCCAACTTTAACCTTTGCCAAGGAGGAAGAAGACCTCATACCATGAGCTGCACACAACGATTTCATGACTCGCTTTACAAAAGTCCCTGTCATGGCTTCCTTGTTTGGATTCCTTTCGTTTCGTTGGAAATGCCAATGGAACAAAACAACACATGCACTTGTTTTCTGCCTTTACATAACAACATTATCATTCTCGTCTTGCCCTTCAATTCACCTTGTTGGGTTTGTCTTTCTTCTGCATTATTCTGTTGCTTCTTCGCTCTAAAAGTAATTCGGCCACTTAATATCAATTACGAAACAAAAGAATTTTGGTTTCACTTTTCAGTCACTGTCTAATTTTTTTAATGTCATGCATAGTAATCTAGATTACTTGCCAGAGAATTGCTCGACTTGACAAGATTAACGTTTCTCGGCCTAACATAACAATGTCAAGGAAATATGAATTTGCCAGCATTTTAAAAATTCATTTGGAATTCTCACTTTCTAAAACAACAAAAGTAGCAGTAAAATTCATTCTGTGTGATTAAGAACTAGTTCTCCACTTTAACACCCAATTCATCATTCTCTAATGAAAAAAAAACATCAACAAGTTTAAACTTTAGAGCACAATTCAAATTCATCATTGGAGGTAACCTAAGGAGAGATAGATAGACTAAAACTACAATTTTAACCAAAAGTAATGAATCTACTAATTATTATAATATTATCACCTAGTGTCTACTACTAGTTTATACTATAATTTAATATATCAATATTTTGTCAAGATTTCATTTTAAAACAAAATACTTGTTTTTGAATTAGTCAGACATATAATTTCTACCATACAAACGTTTGAAAATTTTAATTTTCAAACATTCAAATTTGTTATAAACATGATGTGGAATCTCTTAACCATTTTGATGTTTGAAATTTCAATATTTGAAAATTGTAATTGAGTACAATGTATATTTTATTTAGCCCCTTCAATGAATAAGTACTGACATTTATTTATACGCAAATATCTCACACCCATATCTACTAGCTTATTGTGGTTCGGAATATTTTAAGCATCACTGAAAGTTAATTAAGGATATAATTGGTTGAATAGGCAATCAAGATGAAAAAGTATTCCATAATTGCAATAAATATTGGCTAGTGTGTTTAAAAAGTGATAAGAGCCTTATGATTTCAAAAGATGGGTCATAACTTGATTATTTTTATCTTCAAATTCATATATTATTTTCTTATTTATCTAAACTAACTATAACTATAGCAAGAAAAACTTAAGAATATATATATATAAAGATAAATGTGGTTACAAAAAAGAATACATCCAAAAAATTGAAGGATTTTCAAGACTTAAACTTGTACTTGATCGATAGCTCTGGTGGAAGGTTAACAGACATGAACTTTAAAATGCAGGGTTTACCTATCCCAAAATCACCCCTCACGCCCATGACTAAAAATCAAATTATGCCAACTAGAATTGATATATAAGAAAGCATTCGGTGTCATAATTCCTGAATGTATCACGTTAAGCTAATATGGCTAGAAGGTGTTACAGTGTAAAAAACTAATGGAAGCCTTTCACTAGTCGCCACTTCAATGTATCATGTTGATTTTTAAAGTCAAGCAACTCCAAAATACCATTGAAGAAAATAAGATTTTATAGAGTTCTTATATGACAAACTACAATCAGAGTTACTTAACTATTACAAATACAGTTTCAGTTTTCCAAATCAAAATAAAGATTTTGTGAATTGAGAAATAAAATAGGACTCACTAAAATAACTTAGGAACTCAAGTTGCAATGAAGATGTTACTAAACACAAGGGAGACTTCAACAGAAAAACAATTGAGACTATAAATAAATATAGATTGATAAAATACCAAAGTTACAGCTAATATGTGATGCATGCTAAAAACTTACTCAACTTAATAACCATGCATGCAGGGAAGAAGGGTCCAAACTGACAACCTTGTATCAGCAGGAAGTATTAGGTACATTTTATTGAAGACTTACTACATGTAAACAAACCAACAGGAACTTTAAATCTGTCCCAAAATGGTGTCTGCACCAGAAACCTTAACATCAGATGGAGCTTCTTCAACATTAAGAGCCTTGACCTTTCCATCTACCACATATGCTGACCATCTACAAGGAAACAACTACTCATTTAGAATTGAAATCTAATCTTAAACTCAAAAAGGAACAGACATGTCTTGCGTAGAAAGCATTGATCTAAGGACTACCTATCCAACCAATTGGTCTGGCTTCGGGTATGGTTACCCCCAAACCCCATATTTGGCCAATAAACAGTAAGTGATAGCACATCCACGTGAGTCAGAATTTCTTTTACTATTATTTTGAAAATTCCAACAGATAAAGTGCATTTATAATGTTTCCTCTTTAAAATGGTACATGTAGGATTATGAAAAGGGTTTGACATAGTTAATATATTTAAATTGTTATGTTTGTCATTACTTGGTAGTTTCATCAGTACTTTGTGTCCACAGTTGTTCAAGTGAACAAGTGCACGTTCAAGGATGGTATATAACACACCTTTCAGATCGTGTTCCAAGTAATGCACCTGAGAGATCAGTAACCAACTCCAAACTCTTGTGAAAGCTCCCGTCAAAGTCCCCGTAAAACTCAATCTGGTGATAAATTTTACATAACATAAGAAAAAACAATGCACATAACCCATTTCCAAAAGGGAAATGTCAGGAACACACCCTCTTTTAAACACATTCTCTATAATTAGTTGAAATTTATTAAAAATCACAATTTGATGAGTCTCACAATTTAATTGACACCTCTCTCTCCTGATGTGTAATAAATTTTAACCCATAAGAGTGAGTGTGTTCTCAACACTCTCTTCCCAAAATAAAGAAAATTGGAAAACCAAAACACACCAAATAGAAGAAAATTATAATTCATCTAGGTCAATGGATGCATGATAGTCAACGTAGAAATTTCCATATTTACTGAACAGATTATGTTTACTGAAGAGCTCAATCTTAACATGGATGTACCAATTTAGATATAGGAGCTCTCTTCTCATAAAACCCTTTATTCTTTTCCCACAACTACAATTACTACAACTTTCACATATTTCATTTAACCAAATCACTGCACAGCTGATGCATTATCTTCGACTCGTCACTAGTTCTCGCTTAATTACAAACATATCTACGGATCCTTCAATTGTCACACAAGATTTAGCAACAAAAGTTAGGCAGAGATACCAAGTGTTTTACCAGGGAAATGCAAATGAGAAAATTATAACCTCAGACCATACAAAACTTTTTCTTTAATAGTGAGGCTAAGCAATTAGACAGGGATAACTTACAGCCTCTTTGGCTTGAAGCTTCTCAGCCCACGCATTCATCGTATACGGATCATTAATAGCCACACAAATAACAGAATCTATCCCTTTGGCCTTAAACTTGTCAATATTCTCTTTGTAAGGAGGAACATGTTTGTTTGAACAAACACCTGTGTATGCACCCTGAAGATAACCAAAGCATAAAAATTATCACTCTTAAAAATAGTCACATTTCATTCAAACAGTTCCATTTCCAAGAAACAAAGGAAGCAGTCATTCATCACAAAAACAGTACCAAATCTTGCAAAAACAAAACAACCAAACACCAAAGTGGCATCCAGAGACACATGAATTAGTCAGAAAAATTGCATGTTAACTTACTGGGAGCCCAAAGATGACAACTTTCTTGTCCTGGATATTAAAAGGAAGAAAAAAAAAGAAGACATTAGCAATATAGTGAAAAAGGGGGTTGGAAAAATGGAATGGCATAAGAAAAACAAAAGAAAGAGTAGGGACCTTGAAGATGTCTTTGAGAGGAGTGGTGGAGAATTTCGAAGCAAGTCCCTCGTCCCAGGTACGAGCTTTCTGGAGAGAAACATTGGGTGCGGCAGAGACTATGTCAGTCCCAGTTGCAATCTTGGCGTAAAACCTCGTACCAAGAACTGCAGACACTGATTTCATGATCCGACAACCACCTCGATTCACCATAGCGGAAGCCATCACAAAATTCTCACAGGCAGGTAACTGGATTGAAATCGAGTACCCAGGCAAAAATCACATTCCAATTGTTTTGGGCCCTTATTGGGCCTTTCTTAAAGTGGGCCAAGTTCGTACTCCATCTTTTTAGCCCAACAGATTCTGGTCCGCATTCTGGGTTGAGCCATTTCATCGATTCGATTTATTTTTTCCTTTTATATTTTGTTACATGTGTTGTTTTATTTGAGCATATTTCCAATACTTTCCATCCCCATGTCGCCATGCTTGATTAGGACTGGTACTTAGAATATTAAAACAAGTAAGTTTTTGGAGATGATGGACACCATTTTTGAAAAACTGAATGAGGAAGAGAAAAAATTTCAGGATAAAGAACAATCTTGTGGTTGTAAAATGATTCAGGTTAAATTAGTGCATGCGGGTTTTTAATTGCAGCTAAAGGGTTGAGATATCTTATTTATGAGGCAATTTTAATAAAAAAGTGTTTATAAAGTGTTAAAGAGTTCAGGTTTGAGTCCAAGAAAATGATAAAGTTGAATAATATAAGGAAGATATAGATTTATTGACTTGAACGTTTGAGATATTGAGATAATATCAATGTTTTATACATGTAAGTTTTCTGAAATGACTCGTCAAAGCTATATTTACCAAATATGAAAAAGGGGTTGTGGTAGTAATTCAATGTAAGAGTTATGTGGAGGTGTTAATGTATGGTTTTGGAAAGATTTATGAAGAGATGAACGTAAGTTGTGTAAAAAGTATAATAAATTATAAAGTGTAAAAATAAATGTTTCATTATGGAAAATGAGTTTAGGATAAGAGAGAGTTAAAAGGAGAATGAAGAATAGTAGAAAGGAAATGGGGGATTAGCTAGAATAATTACACCCAATGATGAAAGAAAGTGAGGATCATAAATGGAAATGAAGGTGAAGGGGTCATGAATTTATTCTATCAAATCGGAATATCTGTTATGATTTGACAATCTAAACATTGAATTGTCCACAATGTTATATTTTTTTATGATAATTAATACGATTAAATTTTGAAGAAACAAAATATCTTCTAATAATAAGATATTTGTTAATTTAAGGATCTATATTCTTCACTTAAAAGTTCTAATAATAATCAAATTCTTGTATAGTGACGAATATATATTATGAATAATAGACAAAAAAAAAAAACTTCTTGTAAAAATAGTGATAGACAATTGACATTCAAAAAAAGGTTATTGAGTATTAAAAATCATGTCAATCTTAACTTAAGTTGGAATGATTTGTTAAAGATACTTATAAATTGTTAAATCAATATTAGATGATCAAAATATTTTTACACTAATACTTTATTCGGTAGATATGATTTATTATCTGTGAAGGTTTAAGAGGGTTAATTTAAGATGATTGGTGAGGAATACTGTGTGTATTATTTGGTTTTAAGTAATTTGAGATAATTTGTAACAATACGGAAGGAAAGTTTTGAAAGAGAAAATGAAATCTGAGAAAAGGAGAAAATGATGGATTTGCAAGAATTTTTTGATAATATTTTTAAATTTTTTATAACTACTATTAAAATTTAATAAATAGTATTTACAAAAATATTTAAAAGAAATAATCTATTTCTCAACTTTTGTTTTCAACACAAAATATTTATATTTAAAAAAAATACACATAATGATAGTTTTTGCATTATACTGAAAACAACCCACTAACCATCATTGATTCAATCAAATCAATCCCCATTAATAGTAAAATTTGTACTTAAATGCAGTGTCTTTCTATTAAACCAAATCACAACAAAAAGATGTAAAATCGAAACGAGACGTGAGGAAATAGTGAAAGGAAGTAAGTGAGATACGATCCGTAACCTTTAAAGATTCTTACTTACATATTGGAAAATATGTAGAAAGAAAAGAAAAACGTGCAGAATAAATAAGAATTGTAGAAAAAGCACTTTGATTGTTATATAAAAGAATTAATATTGAAAATGTGTGATTGAGCATAGCATGGATTTAGAAGAAAGATGAAAATGTTTTGGTAAGTTTTGGAAAATATTTAAAAAATCATGGCTGGCTTGTCTCTTGAGTCTTATGAATGAACCTTTCAGTGTGTCCCTCAATTATTTATAGCCAAGAAAATGAAGGTTTTCGGTTAACGTCTTCTTGGTTGCAACATGCACTCTTTAACGAACCCGATCAAACCAAAATATGTAATAAAAAGAGAAAAGGCGTGGCTAAAGAACTTCTTTTTTCTTCAGACTGTCGGCTGTAAGGAAAATTCTGGGAAAAATTAAATATATTTAGCTTTGTCAATAAAATTTTAAAAAATAAAAAAGGAAAATTGTTGTAACTTGTAAGAAAGGAGAAGCATTCTTAGACAGCAGATCTTGCCTGGAAGATTCACAACTTTATTATAATAAGCAAACCCCAACGCTTATGCTTGCAATCAAAAACAACTTTTTTTTTTCAAATCTAGTAAACGGTAAAGAGAAAACTATATGGTACGGTAATATATATTAACATTTCACACATATCATAATAATAAAAAAGTAAATTTTTATATCTTAAAATTAAAATTATTATTATTTTAGTTTTTGAGACTTTTCTTTTCGGTTGTCTTGCAGGAAAAGAACGGTTCCAAACTTTTTCGTCACTATTCACTATCCAAAGTCTTGAGTGGAACATGCTCTGTTTGCTCCATGTTAGGATCTACAAATCCATATCCAAATAACTTCTGTCAATTCTTTTAATGAATGTTTGTCAAGGAATAAAAGTATATTAAATTGAAATTCTCTCTTGCATAAACAATTATTATAAGCTTAACTTTTCCATGGATCTCTTTATTATGAAGCTGTGAATTAAATTTTATATCCAAGTTAATCTCAACGCTAAATTAAAATATGTATCACCAAATATGATTAAAAGTATACGAAAGAAACGAATTTTATAAAGTCAGATTAATTTAACTTTGTTTCTAATATGAGCTATATTCAAAATTGGTTGTATTTTTCCACAGAGAACACGCTTTTGAATAGTTCGTCGGTTAACTAGTGGCGGAGAGATGCTTTAGATTAGAGAAAAAAATAGCTCTCTATACACAGATATTACATAAACGCAATTTCTGTGTGATAAAAATGGTGTGTTTGATTTCAAAAATCATTTTTTATAAAGAATAATTTGACCAGAAGTGAAAAGGATAACTTCGGTTAAGTTTTGATTAATGTCATTTTATTAAATAAATATAATTTTAAAACAAGTTTGTATCGCTTACTCCAATAGAAATATTAAATTTCGTTATTTCTCTATAACTTTTTTTAAAAACAAATAATCATATTTAATCTTTACTTATGCATAATTTGTTAGCAAAAATATTAAAGAAAGTAGTAATAAAACCAATTTAAATTTCTCTTTCATCAAAAGAGCTTGCTTAAAAAAAATCATAATTTTACTTCCCCTCTGTTTTTTCCGCTTCGTTTCATACTTTTTTTCATTTCCAATCACTAGTTAACACAGTAAAGCATGTGAAGAAGAGATATTAAGTGAATAGAAATATATAGAAAGGAAAACTGGCAATAAAAGAAGAATAAGATCTTTGCAAACATGACAAACTTATCACAAGAAACGAGAAAGGATAACAATGAAATGCTTGTCTGCAGAGGAAGGAAGCAAAACCTTGGGTGAACCTTCCTACACCATGTCTAATATTTTGGTATATATGGTTTTCCCATTTACACTAACCTATATATAAATATATATAAACAATACAAATTAAGTAGCCATATCATAATTGGCTGGCTAAAGAATTAGATCCACAAATTATTAAAACTTGGCAAAGAAATTAATCAGTAGAATTTGTAAGATTATGCAGGTTTGCACAGATCCTTTGCCATTTCTGGATTTGAAAGAATTCTTGTTAGGAACTTGAGAAACCGTTCTGGTATCCTGAGACTGCTTTTGATGCTTTGCATGTGAACCAGCCCTTCCTTTCCTCTGCTTCCTTCTTGGCTGTGTTGCCTGGGGGATAAACACACCCGTCCCTTTGCTTTCTCTCCTCAAAGCATGCTCATAGAGAAAAGCAAACTGCGGAGGAGGATAAATTGCCTCAGAAAAAGCCTGAAAATTAGTTTAACCGTGTTAAGATTGTTGTCACAGAGAAGGAGGAGGAAGAAGAAGAAAAGGGGGAAAAATATGGTGGTGCATGAGTTTGAAGTTTGAAGAGATGAAAGTGGTAAAAGAACCTGAAGAGATTGAGGAGGAGAAGAATCAAGACGGTCTTCATCTTCATCCATGATTAGGAGAGCAATTTCCTTGCTCAAATCTGCAAAAAATAGGTCATCTTCAAGTTCAACTGCAACCTCCATGTCCGTTTGATCTGAGTGATAAGAAAAAGAGGTTCCTAATCGGGTATGAAACCAAGTACGAGAGTTTGTAATATCTCTTTGTTTATTTTTTGGATGAGTTAAGGAAATAGAAGTTTATATAGGAAAAAGGAAAGAAAGGGTGAGTTGAGATAGAAGGGGGTGGTCATGTGGTTGGTGGGGCCATGATCACAGTTGGCCAATCTGGCAAAGCCCTACAGAACCCTTGCACAAGCATCATGGAAATTTGTAGTGATGTTATCTTATTTCATCAGAAAGTTTCAAGGAAAAAGATATTCAATCTTGAATACACATGGTTGAGGATGGGCATGGTTATCTCTCTCTCTCTAATCTCATCTCATCTCATCTCATCTCATCAAACAGTAATTTATGGCTCATATTATTCAAAGCCTTTCATATATGCATAGGCGACAAATGAATATTTGTCCCAAAGATTCTTATCACTATATCCATCTCATGTTCTTGTTGGTGCGCGTGGTTAAGGTTAAACCAAGCAGACAAATATTACTTCCATAGGTCGGTGGATCTACTTGTTTAACCACTTGCAATCTGGGTCCCCCAGAATCTACACCATTCATTTTACACCTTATATTACTAACACCAATGTTTCTTCTTTCAACACCCACACTGAAATCCTAGATACTTAGCCAAAAAGTTTGATTTTTCGATGTACAAATATACATTAAAAAAATACTATCTTTTACATACATATCAATCTATTTCATGTCTGATAAAAAAAGGCCCAATTTGAGTATTTTGATTCGAGATATTTGTTAACTAAATAACTATTAATTTAGTTTGTAAAAGAATGAAAAGTATAATTTTATTAAAAAATTAAACTTGATATCAAATATCATATTTTTTCCAAAATGTAAGAGTTAAATTTACTCATGCACACATTGAAGAATAAAGTATTTAATTTGATTATGTGAAAACCTTGCAATTAAATTCAAAAGTGTATGTAGAAAAAAAGTTAGATTAAAAATGTTAGTTATTGAGAATGTTTTGATTACAGTTGAGGATTTTTTTGGTTTGAGTGGCTAATGAAAGTTCCAATTTTCAACTTGGTTGGACTTGGTGTTTGTCGGTCGTCACGTGAGATGAACCGCATGAGCTTGGAAACTTCAGATTTGTAGACCCGAGTCCACATTCCTGTGATTTGATTAATGTTGATGTTTTCTTTTTCTTTGTTTACCTCTTGTTCATACAGTCCATGTATTTGCACGTCAGATGATTTTCGGATAAGAAGATGCCTCGTGACTATTCAATATATAGAAATAAGAAATTCTTAAAAGATAATTATTTAAGATTTGAAAATTAAAAGTTTAATTATTTATATTTTTAATTTTATGTTCGTTTTTTTATATTCTTTTTCTCGATTTCTTTCTAGAACGGATAGAAATGTTTGACTTATACTTATTTTAAAATTGTTGTTTTCTGATTGATATTTACTAACGCTTTTTAATGTTGAACTTTTTAATTAGTGTGAATTACATTTTCTATTGATACTTTTCACAATTATTTTTTTGTCGATGACCTTAATCATTTTCTTTTATTTCTTAATAGTAATTGACACATAAGATCACACCAATCAATTGTGCGTAATCAAATAAAAAATATTATTAAAAAATAAAAATAATAACAAAAAGACGTTGAGCATCAAACCAAACTTATATAAAAAAATACATAACAAATATTTTTCAAAAAAACTAAACAACTTTAAATGTAGAAATCCGGTGACATTAAAAACATAAAAGCAATTTTTTTTTTACATATTTATAAGCATTTTCTCCATAGTTTTGAAGAGACTAGGATCAATTTCAAAATTAGAAAAAGTGATTACAAAATCACTTTCTTTCCAAACATATATAAAATAATAGAAACTATTAATATATTCACTCATATTACTTTTAAAGAAGTTAGCATAAGCTATAAGACCATAGATTATCTAAATTACACAATTAGTATTCATCTTAATCTAATCAACATTCAGAAACTACTAAAAAATTTGATATAAAGAATATTTTTTTTCCAGTATAGTGATTATATCATAAGATTTTAGAATCATAAAATCATACATATAATTTTTATATATTTTATAAAGAATAACTTTTTAAACCTTACTACATCTTCTAATGGTGGGCATTGTAGCATATAAAATTTGTCATAATTTATCATCTTCAAATTATTCAAATAATATAAGTGACATTAACTAACTAAATTTCAACAGGTGCTTCCTGAGAACTTAATAAAAACAATAAAATATATAAATTTTAACATTTAAAGAAAACATATTGAATGAATATTTCTTTATCTTACAAAGAGAAAATAAACATAAACTCAACTTTCTAGCCTGTAACTCTTCATTAATCGAGAGAGTCTATTATGCATAGCTTTTATAGAACACATGTTTTATGGATACCAAATTAACTTCTTCTAATATTTCGGAAGAGTAGCAAAGTCGCATGCATATAAATCACATCGTTCAACTAATAAAGTCAGTAATTAGTAATATTTTTATTTTTATATTTCCGTTATGGTATCAAAGTTTTTTTACTGAGTTTTTTATATTATATTTTTTAAAATACATTGATTTGCATCCACTTATATCTTATTAATTTGATATTATTAGACTTCCAACAATTTGGCTATATTAATTTTAAAAATATTAAAAATCAGTTTATTTGAAATCATCATAAATCTATGGGAGAATCAAAATTCAAGATATTATTAGACTTTTCCAAGAAGTATTTTATTTTATTTTTTGGATTTAAAATTACGAAATAATATGGTGTCCATGTATGTTAGCAAATTTATCTCTAGCCACAACTCATTTTCCAAGCTATTTTTCATAATTTTCGTTACTAAACAAGTTCTTAGACATTTTCCATTAACGCCAACTCACACAAACTTAATGCTTTTTATTACGCCCCAACATTATTGTATACTTTTTTTGTCTACGTTTGAAAATCCCTCATTTCTTACCATTCTCATAGCTCATTAGAAGCAAAGATCAAGTCCTGACTTCCACTATCTAAGAAATTTATAATAACCTAACTACATTCTTTAAAATTTGTGCTTTTTGTTTATTCGTCTCAACCTTCTTTATTAAATTTAATTTATTCTTTAAATTCTTGCAATCAAGTTTTTCATGAACTTTTTAAATTCATAAAGATCCACTACCTTGTTATTCATAAGAAAGTTAATTCTCGACTTCTAATTTATCAACATTTTCGTAAAAGCTAATGATTAACATGAAACCTCAGCATAAAAGGAATTCAACATAAATATATTACAACTGTATTATCTTATAAAATGAAAACAATTATATAGATTAATTTTTTAAGTTATATTTATTAGTTTTAGTTCTAATTTATATTGGACTAAATATTTTTTTAATTCATAAATTTGGATGCGAAATTAAAATTCATCAATATTTTAAATTTTAATAAATATTGATCTAAACTTAAAAATAATGGATATTGTCTTTTTAATTTAATAGTATCAATTTTTTTACGTGTTAAATTATACTTTAGATTGATATTTGAGTTAAAAAGATGTCAAACGAAACTGTAAAGAGAAAAAAAAATTTATATTTGTATGTTTTAAAGTTTTAGAATCAAAGTACATCAAAATAAAATTTAGAATACGTATGAATTTTAATTTTGTATTTAAGTTTAAAGATAAAAATATATTTAATTCATTTATATTTAAATCATAAATTTTATTCTATGGATGTTTTATGTTTTTGTTTATTTTTAATTTAAAAATATTTTTTATTAAAAAAATTTATTTTTCTATAATTGTAATAAACTTTGAAAAATATTCATATCCATATATTTGGATGAAAATACTGAATATTCAAGAGACAAAACATCTAATATTATGTCAATCCTCTGGCCAAGTGAAAGGGGGAGGAACCTTCCTTGAAGAGTACCATAACAGTGAGAAGTGTATATATTAGAAACAAACATTTCATTTCATTTTTAACTCAAGTATTATCTCAATTTTTTGTCAAAGCTATGTTAATTATTATTGCCATATGCTTGTAAATGCCGTGTGCAGGTATAGTTGTAACGTTGTCGTAAAAAACAATAATTTCCTCTGTTTGTACTTTAAGTTCGATGTTCTTTTAACACAAATTAATAATAAGATACCATTTTTTTCCAAACTTTATTTAAGTTTATATTTTATCAAAATAACTTCATTTTTTAAAAATATATTAAATTCTCAGAAAAAGTTAACAAAAATATACTTTGTTTGAAAGTAAAAAATCAATCGATTTAATTTTCTTTTCATGTTACTGAAACTGCAATTATTGTGTCACGGGTATAATACTTATAATAATGATTGAATTTTCATAATAGTTACAATATATAATAATGGCACAACCGTACACGTAAAAATCACCCAGCAAGCATATATTTGGTGACTTATTAATTAAGCAAAAATAAACATGATATTATTGTCTACAAATAGCACAGAACATGGAAGTATTTGGAAGACAAACAGTGGCAAATCGGGAAATTATTCTTTTATATTAATTTATTTCCATAATTATATTATGTGAAGATTGTTTATTACGAAAGAAACAATTTTCATGTGATATGATCACGTGAAAAACCCATTTCCGAAACAAAACATATTAACTTAATTGTTTTCCTACCAGCAGAGATGAAGTTCTAAATATATATAAATATATATATATATATATATATATATATATTATGGAGTTTGGTAATTTGTATATGCTTTTTTTCAGTTGGTATATTTTAGTAATGTGTATCAGTTTTTAGTAGAAAAAAAATACCTTCATCCGTTATGGATTCTAAGTTTTAAAATTAAGGGTATTTGAATAATTTTTATTCTCAAAACTAAAAAAAACAAAAAATCACACGTCTCTGTCATTCCGCATTCCTCTCAACCTTTCTCTTTCATCTCTTTCACTCGAACATTCTCTCTGTTATCCCTACAGTAGTCCCAACTGAAAAAAATCAGACACACTCGCCTAGCCTTAATCTACCTTCCTAACTTATCCAATTTGTTTCTCTCTCATCTCCATCCTCTCTCACACCCACATATTGTAATCCACGACATCGCAATTTGTTGCTCTTGCTCTGTTCATTCATTTGTTTTTCACTTTATTAACAAAATAATTGATGATATTAATGTCCATAATAATTTCAAAACTAAAAAACAAGAAACCCCGTGAAAAGACGTTAACATCAACCCATAATAGTTGCACAATACCAATTTTGATAAAATCATAGAATGAAAAGTGTAGAAGTTAAGCTATGAGTATGATGGTAACAAATTTATTAAGTTTAAATTCTAATTTGAAATTTAGTGCATTTTGTTTTTCTTAATTTCA